ATGGATGGGTTTCTCCAGGCCAGTTGGGGACTCAGGTTTGCAGTTTTCTTTAGTTGAAAGTAGAAAGTGGAAGAAATCCAACAGAAAATTTTGTTTTTGACCTTTATGTCTTGTGTCTTTATATCTTTTTGTTTTTTATCTTTATCTTTGTACAAGTTTTTGGATGGATGTTATGGTGAAAGATGACACAACATCCATCCATCCATTAAGTTTGCCTGATTTTTCCTTTTCAGGTCATGGGAGTCACTGGTGTCCATGTCCAGCAGTTATTGTGTGAGAGGCAGGGGACACCTGGACAGGTCTCCAGTCCATCACTGGGACACATAGAGACAAACGAGACAATCATTCACTCTCTCTCTCACCTACGGACAATTTAGAGTTACCAATCAGCCTAACATGCATGTTTTTGCTCTGTGGGAGGAAACTGGAGTACCTGGAGAAAACCCACGCATGCACGGAGAGAACAGGCAAACTCCACCCAGAATGGTCTCTGGCCAGTTTCCATCCGGCGACCTAACTGAGCCACCGTGCCGCCCACAACACAAGTTATTACATTTTTAAAAACTTATTAATATTTGTCTTTTACTTTTTAATTGGCTCTCTTTTACCTTCACTTTGACCTCCAGTGACACCCTTGAATAATTCTAATTAAAGCGAACGCTCACAGGGGAATGTCTAATTACTTCTCTGCTGCCATTGCTCTGATGATGGCTCTGATGTGTTCCTCTGGGTTTTACCTTCAGTACACAAGAGCAACCATTGTTTTAACTTCCTCTTTCAGTCATTTACATAGTTTTGCTGCGGCATCTTCTGAAGCATCCGTGTCCCCTGTGAATAACACTTGTTTGCAGGCTGCAGTACCACCCTCAGGCATCACTTATTTGTTTCACAGCTGTGGCTTTTTCCATGAGGTTTATCTGCAGCTACACTTATTATCTGCTTCCTGTATTCATCCCAATGTTTTATTGTCTTTACTGCATCCTTGGTATTACTTTCAGCCCCTTAGGCCTTGTGCATCAACTTGGAATTATTTATGCTGAGCATCTACATCTACTGAGAGTCTTTGTCTATATAAATGGTTCTTTTTGGGCAAAATGTTTAAAATACTTTGGTTGGGGTAGTTAAAGATTACAAATAAATTGCTTCTGCAATCCCATGGTTTCTTGTTTAAGCCCATGTGATGTATCACTGTTGCTTTGTTCTCTTAAACTTGGTCTTCTTTTGGCATTTCCCTCTTCTTGGGTCTCCACAGCGAGTCCTCCTCCTCCATCTCTCTCTGTCCTCTATGTCCTCTGTCCTCACTCCAACTACCTCCATGTCCTCTCCAACTATATTCATACATCTCTTCTTTCTTTTTCCTGGCAGCTGCATTTTTAACATCCTTCCACTAATATACCCACTGTCCCTCCTCTGGACATGTCCAAATCATGGCCCCTCCTCTGGACATGTC